CCTTTGTCATGCGATCTTGAAGTACCTGTAATGTAAATGAAATTAACAATGTACTAATGTGATTGCCAAATCAAAGGAAAATGAGGGGAAATAAATGTTTGAGAGAGAAGGGAATTTGTGGGACGAAGACATGACGGAGTATTGACGGGAAGGGGAGGTAAGGGACACCAACAAGCAGTATCGCCGGCTGCCCGCTGCAAGGCAGGGCAGCGGCACGGGGTAGCACTAGTGCGTATGGGACGCACGCTAAAGGCACTTCCAGTACGGGGTATTGCTGCTATCAGCACGATTTACCAAAAGGGATTTCCTTATTTGACAGGTTTTTGAAAGCTTTTTAGCTTTTATTTTACTCTCTAACATGTACAATTGCAACTATCTAATTGAATAATATTTCCTGGTTATCCTTGGTTATCCTTGGTTATCACTAGAATTCTTCAATCTGGAATGTTTTAAGTGTCTCCTGTAAGATAAGGGTTGGTGGACTTACGCGCTTATGTTGGCTCATCAGTGACTTCGCAGCTCTGCAAAGTGAATGCTTTGTAGGAATTTAACAGTGTGGTCAGTTATGTGAGCTACGCTATCAGTTACTCATCTAAATATTTTATATTATGTTGTAGGTGAAACCACAGTTGCCTATTTATTTGTTCGAAGAAAGTGGAACTGGGACGAATTGGAATTTAGCATTTTCTCCACGTACTGTGTTGTCCTGAACTTAATTGGTAAGTGACCTTGATTTAAAACGAAACCATTTGCAAAAAACAGTTTTTCCGAGTGTGTCGTACAATAACCGTGCAACATTGTAAACGTAAGAGCATTGCGTTTTAACTTTATCGTCGAGTAAAACCGACGCATTCTTGATTACAATGCCCTATCTACGGGGATTCGTCTTTAAAATGTCCAATTTACAAAGGGACGTTTACACACACAGTGTTCTATCTGCATTGGATTTCTTAAGTAGCCGAAACTTTTGACATTTTCTTAAAAATTATGTGGACCCGAAACTAGTGTCGTTCTTTAGTACTCTACCTTGACAACCGCATTTGTTCAGTTTCAAGATTAAGTCCTGTTTCAGAGGAAATTCCAGAATATCTAAATGGTTTTTAAACGCCATGTTCGCTTATGCACCATCCTCTGTTTCCACGAAAATTATGGAAAATGCTTAATTGATCTAACGACATATCTTCGGAACTAAACACAAAATTTTAAAAATTATTTTTCACAAAGAAATTTGCATCGACTGTTATGGTAAATTACGGAACCGTTTTACAGTATCCGTAACTATAACAAGCAGGCCCGCCCTTCCGCCAAACGGAGTTGCCAGCTCCACTTCGCTGCGCCGGCAACTCCGTTCGGCAGGGGCCGGGCCTGCTTGGCCTGCCGGCGGCGATGGTCGGGCCTTCGGCCCGACCATTTCAGTCTCGCGATTTACTGAAGGGCATAATCAAATAAATTATGTGACCGGTAAATCTCTTTGCATATTTGAGTAAACTTAAGCGTCTTGCGGGGGGCCTGCGGCCCTAGAAATTTTTCCTTTGGACATGACAAGAGACTGTAACGGGGCAACACCGTGACTACACCCCACCCTTCTGCTTTGCCCAAGGATTAAATAAGGTGAACCAGCGCAGTTTTTAGGTTGTACATTGTTTGTCAAACAGTCCTAAAACTTGACTTTTTGCCAAATTTTTCAATATATCCACCTCTAGGGCCGAAACAGTGAAAGATACGGCAAATCTGATGGTAGTGTCTGATTCAGAATGTGTTGTTTTGGGGGGGTACTTCCTCTGACATTTTACGATTGGACGCCTCCTTGTACGTCTTTATGAGCAACGCGGTCATTTTCGCCGTATTTCGTCGAAATAAGCACTCTAGCGCCCAAACGGTGCAAGATAGGGTCAAACGGACGAAATTTTCGCCCAAAGGGCTCTACTTTCACGAGTTACCCCTTAGGAGACCATAAAAAAATATTTGATTTTCTACTTTTTGGACTAACCCCTATTTATTCGTTACCCCCTTTCACCCCCTTAGGGGTGGTTGCCAGGATTTGCACCAGGCGTTTCGTTGTCCAGGAGTGACCCCTAAGATACCCTGAAATTTGCAGACCTCTAGCTCATCTCCTTCCTCTTACACGGACGACGGACAGACAGACAGACAGACAGACAGACAGACGGACGGACACGAGAGCGGTTGCATAAGCCCGCTTTAATGCTTTTTTAAAAGCAGAAGGGCGGGCTAAAAACCGCGTAAAAATTCATTTTTGAAGATTGAAGTAACTGTCTCATGTAGTCCTTAAGCGTTTTCTCTTGATTGCATTTTTCAGGAACTTTAGTAACCGTCGGGCTTTTCAGCGCCGTGCTGAAGTTCCATGACAGTGCTATTGGAATGATAGCGTGCGCTTCGAAAATCTCAGCAGCACTTCTCTATGCGTTTTCCACATCAGTACCAATGGTATGCTTTGGTAAGTTCTTACGGCTCTTGGTTTTCGCTTTGATTTTGTCCTCCTAAGTTAGATATTTTTCTTTCACCGTCCCCCTCTGCCTTTCTGCTTTTAAAAGCCCCGGAGCACACTTGCCCAAGCCACTTGATTTGCTTTCTTGATGCAATTTTACATGTCGACCGATGAAGGAACTTCTGCAAACAGCTGCTCTCTACAAACATACGTCTGAAATGCCATCAAGCGCACAAGTGGTTACCATAGGGCTCCGTAAACAGTTTCACTGGCACGCATGGTTTCACTTCAGCAGAGGCGTATATAGAAGATAACAAAGAGGCATGGATTTAATCCCATTAGAAATTTCCGAAAGACGTTGGAAAAGCTATTTGCCATGTTCTCGATGGGATCGCACGGAAAAAAGAGAATCAGCTAAATAAGCTAATGCATTCGCTGATATGGCCTTAGATTAGAATATTAGCTTTTCTAGCTAATTCCCATCGGCTAAGAAAGCTAAAATATTACGACGCGTCCTAAGAACAAAGTCTGATCTTTTCGCGCGCCCGTCAACAAAGTCCGATCTTTTCGCGCGCCCGTCAAACAGACAGTCTAGAAAAAGTAATGACTGATATGTGATCCTAAGAGATTGAAGAATAGCTGAGACCAAAAATGTTAAGCAAAGATACAGAAACAGAATTGTCACAAAGCTCCAAACGTCCGCCTCCCGAGCGCG